CAACATTGTGATATGTTTATGATGCATTCAACAATCGCTGGATTTCTAAAAGTTTTGTTGAAGGAAAATGTATGCGACACTTGTGATGTCGAACTTCCAGAGATTATTCTACATTTGAACGATATCTATTGTACATGAACATGATGAAAAATGAACGGATTTATCAAATCTTCATATCATAACACTGTGCAGTTGGAGTTGGGTATGCATCTGCGGCAAAAGATGCCTTCTTTCCACCACACGATGTTCTGTAGCAGTGTAATACCGTTTCACCAAGTTACATTTAATGTGGAACGAGAAATCCAATTTTTTAATTTGAAGGGGGAACAAGTTGGCACAGCAGAATGAAGCACATTTCTTTACTTCTCAGTGCCAGTGATTGGAAGTCATTCGATTCATTGATGTCCATTTTGAGTCGAACCATTTCATTATCACAACACAAAAAATTGCAAACGCGGTAACTGACAGTACCACAAAAACTATGAATGTTATTAAAATGGTACGGTTTTGCGCAGCATTCGGGAAAATCATTGGATAGCCATATCGTCCATGAACTGGTACACCGACAATAACAGCTTGTGGGTTTGGGTGCATCGTAGAAGAATTTGCTATAAAGTTCGATTTCTATACAGTGGCTAGAAGTATCGTTTATGTCAACTTTAATTTGAATTATCGAAAACCATGAGGTGAAGGAAATGGATGGGACCAATTCGAGTGCCGAAGAAGCAGGTTTTGATGTTTTTCATATACGCAAAATGCGCAATGTCTGTCCAACACAGTTGCTTCATATCTTCCGAGAACTGATATCGCAAATGAGTAACCAGATGAAGAGCTTCTTTAATGAAATTTTATAAAAATAGTTGCCAACTAACATAATGTAGGATTGACAATTTGTGGTATATATGCAGGGTTACTAGGTGGTTGTGGAAATGGTGGAAAAGGCCCACCGATATTTGTGTTTGAGTCGATTGCTGCCTCTGCAACGCTGTGATCATTTCTGGATTATCTAAGCCGACATTATTAACACAAATCAACTAGGCGGTTAATGCTTAGTGGGAAACTAACGAGTTTCTAAATGAAAGAACAAAGGAGACTTTTCAAAATGTTGTAACAACAAACCATATGATGGTGGGACTTTCTGATGATTGTCTTCAAAATTATTCATTGTATTCCTGAAAGTGATACAAATTAAAAGCAACTTCTACAAATTTCGCACTACTGTGAATATAAATTAAATTAGAGTTGATATTGGACAAATCCTTCTGGAAAGACAGTCTCCAGAATCACGTAAACTTCTACACAGTTTCAAACAAGCATTCTCACCACCAACGGAGAGACACGTAAGCACAACATGCAATGTCACGAAGCTCGTAGAGCATACGTTGAAATTATAAATTTTAGAGGTACTTTTCTTTGTGTTGAAATCAGAGAATAAAGCAAACAATAAATCATGTGATCAATTGATAGTATCATTCAATCACATGATTTATTGAAAGGATTATTAAATTCAATATTTTCCATCGGTATATAATGTCTTTAAAGAGTAAAGAGCACTGTGTTAGTTTTGTCTCTTTCTCTATACCTCTATAATTTTATTTATTTCCATTGCAATTACCTGGAAATCAATAATTCATCGCTACCATTATCTAAAATCAATAGTTCTAATTGGCTAATTATTTATTGATAATTACTTTATGTTACAACTGATTATGTCAGCATGTCATCGTTATAGAAATTATTGATAGAATGACAAATAATGTTTTTCTAATATAGTTATAATATCAAAAAATGGATGTCCTATGTTTAGCTTGCCATCATTTGTCAACATTCTATCAGTCGTTCCTATGATGATAATATCATCGGCTGCAACAATTTGCTAATCAGGCTTAAAAATGAATCACTACATTGTAATAAAAACGAAGTTTGGTAAAATATGTGCTATGATTTCATCACTCCATTCAGTTTAGTCTCTGATTATTATATTATTCTGTAGTTTCCCGCACATTCATATCCCTATGATATTTCACTATGTTCTCTGTATTTCATCATTCCGGAAATTATTCAGAATTCATAGAACCTTACAACTTATTCGGAAACTTTTCACTGAATCACTAAAAAACACATTATCATAAACAAACATGTTTTTCCAGAGACACACATACATACGTATGTACACACTCAGCGTTTGATAACGAATTATTTGTCGCTACGTTCATTTTATGTTGAAGTAACAATTCAAACAATTACTTCATAAAACAAAGCTTTATGGCTTGTTGAAACAAAGGCGGGTTCAAGTTTTTGTTTTAAAACCGATCCTTTTCTTTCTTTTTCGAAAAGAAGAAAGAAAATTTTTTGAAGATACTTTGGGCGGAACAACAACGAATTCATAAACGATTCAAGCGTGATCATATTGATGCTACTTCTGCAGCTATTAATGATATCACTTATAATTATAATAATAATATTTTTTTTAACGATCCATTCTGGTCTCAACAATGGAATTTGGTTGTGAATTTATTTTCATTCATACTTGAATTAATGTTTTATAAAATAAATAATTTTGAAAGTTTCAGGAGAAAATGAGGAAAGAAAGATTTGAAGGAAAGAATTTATGAAAAGATAAAAATGAATTATATAAAATAATTGTCTCATTTGAACAAAATCATTCAATCTCAAATTTATAATAAATGGAATTAAACGAATGATAATTAAATATGTAATTAATATTTGGAATTGAGTGAGAATTTCCATTTTCATTTTATAATTGACTACAATTTATACTAATTGTAGTTTTATTTGCCTGCAAATATGCAATACTTTTGTGAGCGAAAATTTGCAGAATAATGAAATAATTTAGAAAAACTCGAGAACCACAAATGGCCAACCAATTAGTATGCATGTGATGAAAGCTTGGGAACTTGGTTATACTGGAAAAGGTGTCGTCGTGACAATACTGGTCCAAAATTTAATTTATAAAAAATTTTGCGAATCTTTTTTAGAACATATAACTGCGTCATATATTTCGTTCAACTGTTGTGTAAAGCTCGTATTCTTTGAAGATATTAGAGTAAACAAACGAAATTATCTAAATTTCATCGTTCTCCTTGGATCATTGCAACTTCTGATAATAACAAAGTTATATATCAAGCATTGTTTCAGTTGGCTGATAAGTAGATATCAGCCAAGGATTTAATTAGCACTTGACAGCATCTGATACTTGCCACCATCAGAAGATGCAAAATGATTAACATGCAACAATATTTTCTCTTGAATTAAGTCATTCTTATTTCTTGATCTTTCATTAACTTGACAAAATATCTAGTTTGGAATGATATTCAAATATATGACATCATTAGTTGTAATACCGATAAATGGATTAGAATTAATTGATAAAATTTAGAGCTAATTGATAATTTTCTTCTTCAGGATGATGGCTTACAGACACAATCATACAGATATTGTTAGAAATTATGTTAGTTTCTAATTACTGTCCTGTTTGAGAATTAATAAGTGATAAAAGGAATGAGTTTCTAAAAATTGAATTTAAAGAGTATCAAAAAAACTTTTGCATATTATTGATATTTGGCTTATGCTAATCAAATTCAAATGGCGATCATGTTTATTTTCATTTTTTTAAGGATCCTCAATCTTCATATGATCTAAATGACAATGATCCCGATCCAATCCTAAATTTCCCTTTCAAATATTTTTTTTGCATCAGTAAGATAAACCTTTGAAGTAAGAAAGTATTCATATATCAAAGTACAAAAAATCTGATTAGCATCAATTCATATTTCAAAACACGAAAAAGTTTCACGTTCACGTCTATTTCACGTTTACAAAGTACAAACGATCCGTGTTCCAAAGCGCAAAAGGATAATGATTATCACAAAAAAAATGAAATAAATCATTTACAATTTAAAATTAGTCTCATGTGATATTTCCATAATCTTTTCTTTCAACCATATTTTTCATTATTAAAATATTTGTTTTATTCATTTAACGCTTAATATAAATTCAAATTTCAAATCAAAATTAATTGCAAATTAATTTATTTGTTCTCAAAAGCATCTTTGTTTATTAATATCGTTGTCAATAGCAACAGTATGTCACGTTGTGTTTATCGTTTTGCCCGTTTCTCATTTTAAATTATATATTTATACTTAACGCTTATTTGGAACTTATGCGGTGTAACGCTAATAATTAATTTCTTACCTGCAGGAAACTTCTCGCATTTAACATTTCAAATAGTAAGTATATTTTATAATCACTGAATGATATGATCACATATTACTCTAAAGTGCTAATATTTATTAAATTATCATACAACATAACAGAATGTACGTTTTTATGATAAAACTTTTTCAAATTTTTATTTCAATGATTATCGGATCAAATTTTTGCAATTTTCTATATGCTTCATTTTTCAAAAATACCTAATATTTTGCATAGTTTAATTGTAATTAATAAAATAAGAAATGAATTGTACTAATGGATTATTTTTTATTCACAAAATATTTCAAATAATTTAAAACATAAAAAATATAAATTATTTGATATAGTTTAAATATTATTATAAAAAGTTGAAAAGAAAATGTGAAATTTTTATTATAATTACATCAAAAACTTGAATACTTAAAAAAGAAATAGCACAATAATTAAATTGAGAATTTAATTGGAAATTAAAATATTAACAACCCAAAAATTTATTCAATTTTGTATTTTTGAAAATTATTATTAACCAAATTCTTTTGAAATAATCATTTTCTATTCTTCAATTTTTGAATTTTTAATTCCGATATGATGTTTGATGTTTAATTTTCAAATTCCAATATAATTCTAATTTGCTAATTTATAATTTATTTAGGAGAAAAGAAAAAATAATTAAAAAAAAAAGGAATATGGAAAGGGAAATGGAAGAAGCAATTCAAACATTGAAAAACGAAGCAAATGGAAAATTACTACGAAGAAGTTGGGTCGATAATAATGATGACGACAATACGATCGTGAAAATGAATCCAATAGCAACGGATAAGAACAAATTTCAAGCTGTCATTTTAGTATGACAAAAATTCAATTCAATTCATTTCTTATTTAACTATACTAGCATTAGGCTTATTAAATATCATATCATTTCTTGCCTATGCCTGAATAATTAATTAAAATATAATGCGATGAAATAAAACTCTTTCTTAAATTTAATTGAATCGCAGCAAAGAAAAAAATCATTTATTTTTTAGCATGATGAACCATTTGCTGACAGTTCAAGCTTAAATCAAATTAACAGGTAATTTTACAATTTAATTGATTTGTTCAGGTATTCAAAAAGAAGAAAAGAACAATTGAGAATTTTCTATCATTTAGAATATATTAATTGTTACTTAAATATTTACATATTACTTTCATTTCTAATTTGTTTTTAAAGATAAAAGTTTAGCAATGTTGATTTTTCTAATTTTTTATTTAATATAAATATTTTAAAGAAGTGTCATAATTATATTTTTCTTTGGAGGATTATCAAATATTTTTGATATTTTAGCCCGGCGATTTCTGTTAGCGAATCTTCTGCATCCAAAATAACCATTACATCAACCGTACCAAATACACGAACGATACGTGAGCGAATAAAACAAAAGGTAATAGAAGAAATAGAAGTGAAACGTGAAACTGCACAATTGAATAAACGTTTGCAACGTCAACAACGTAATACATTAATGGAGCAAAATTCCGTTGGTACCGTTGCTGAAGTAAATCAGGAAGAACTTGACAGACAAATTGAACATTCCATAAAGGTTTCCCATTCTTTTTGTTTACTGTTTTCATATTAAAATTTTAATTTCTCTTTTCAAATATTTAAATAAATTTATTTAAATTATTTAATTGCTTACCATTATTATTATTATTATTATTATTATTATTATTATTATTATTATTATTATTATTATTATTATTATTATTATTATTATTCTATTAGGTTTATGCAATAATTATTAATTGAAGGCTATATTGTGATTTGATATGGCAAAATAGCAAAATGCAATGTTAATTACTCATTAATTTTGTTAGTACCAAAAATAGGAACATAATTTTTTTTTTTTTGAATTATCTTAGTTTCTAAATAAATTTACAAAAGAATTTTTTGTTTAGCTTGGAGAAAAATGTACCGCTGATTGCATATATTATTTACCACCTGATGATGTTCAATATGAATTTATGACCGGACAATCATTCCAGAATAATCCGAAAACGGAAATTAAACAGAAACAAACTTCTAAAGGTCTAATAATTCATAATTTCCTTCAAAAATATCAATAATATTTTATTTCTTACCAAGTATTATATCATTTCTCTAAGTTTTTTCAATTAAATGAAAAGAATAAGTAAACAAAATTTGAAAAAATAAAATTTTTAAATTAAAGTCAATTTTTCATTTATTTCTTTTAACATTATAATATAGTTTACATTTAGTTAACTATATGGCAGCACAGGTACAATCACCTGATGAAATAAAACAATTTGAATCTTTATGCTGTTTTTATAATAAAGGATATGATGCGACAGCGTCATCATCAATTGAAAAGTAAGCTTTATTGATGATTTAATTCTTTCATTTATAAAATTATTTATATCTATTAAATAATATCATATCTGTTATCAATGTATCTTCATCGCTTAATTGTTACTCTTATCAAACATTGATAATTGCTACGAAATAATCTGTAGAAAATCCTCGAAAAAGAAGAAAGAGATTTTTTTTACTAATGATAAATTTGATTTATAACTTTCAGTATACCGACTTTTAAATTACAAAATTATGCATTATTATCACAACGAGTGGGTGAACATTTTCTTAATGATGATGGAATAGTATTGGGAAGCAATTTGGATATTGACAGAATTCCGAAACGGGTAATGAATTTTGGGGTTGCAAAAATAATTTGGACAAGAAATTAATTTATTCTAATTTTATATTTTCATTTTTTGAAAAAGAAAAATATATAAGAAGAAATTGTAAAATATGCGAAATAGTTACTTTTGAAATTTAATATGAAATATATTAACTTGTAATGCTTTATAGATCATAACAATGATAAAAAGTATTAGTGACAGATTAGTGAATAATTAAAAAAAATTGTTCAAAACAAAGAATAATAGTTTACAATGAAATTTTCAATTATAAACAATTTCTTTCATTTCATTTTATTTTATTTTTTATAATTAATTCATGCAAAATATAATTTTGCAACAAAGAAAAGAAAGTTAAGATAAATTTACTCAATTTGAAATAATTTTTACTATAATTAGTAATCAATTATTATTCGATTATTTTTTTTTCCTTTTCATTTTTGCTTATATCAAGTAACAGGTATTAGTAACAGGTATCAGATAACAGGTATTGATTGGTTTTTCTTTTTGGAGTTTAATTGAAATGAATTATATTAAATTGCAGCCGGAACGTTATGATGACGATTATCGCATTCCATGTCGATATATTAAAGCTGAAAAATGGGATAAGGCGCTTAGTCGAATTAAGCAGCAAGAATTTATACAATTGGATATTGATTTGAATCGAATCGTTTTCAATTATCATTGGTTATTTGGACAAGAAGATTTGGTTTATAATTTAGGCTGATTATGAATGAAAAATTAAGAGGGAAAAATGATATTATATTAAATGTTGAAATTTTATCAATCATATTCCTTTGCTCATTTTTATCAAAGTTTTATAAACTTACATATTAATTGCAGCTATGCAATACCATTCGAAATTTGCATAAAATGCAATATTTATAAACTTACATATTAATTGCAGTTATGCAGTACCATTCGAAATTTGCATAAAATGCAATCAATTCGAATGCAAGAAGCATTGAAATTATTAAAAGAAATTGAAACAAAAGAAAAAATACTACGTAATGGAACAGTTCCACAAAAAAATGAAAAAGAAAAGTTAGAAATTTTTCATTTTTGAAATATTTAATAAAAAATTTTTTGTTAAAAAAATTAATTTATAATTTCTAATTTTTTAAATAAATGAATTATTTAAATAATTTAGCTTTAAACTATTAAATAATAATTACTTAAATTAATTCATTGAAAATACTAAATTATTATTCTCACCCATTTATTATGCAAAATATTTAGTTGAATAAAAGTTATATAATTATATATATAACTTAAGATTTCTTCACTAATTATACTTTGCTAATGAACACATAGATGGCAGCAATATATTTCCTTACAAATAATAATACATCGCAAAAAAATTTTTTTACAAAGAAAACAATTCCAAAATCATTTTCCTAATATTTTGTATGTGAATTTGGAATTTTATCACGAAATTTTTCCTTTGAAAAAAATTGTCCTAAATTTTTTTTGAAAAATATTTAGTTATAATAAATGTAAATTTACTTATAGTAAAGATTTTCTTATTATAGCGCAGAATGTCGAATAAGAGAATTAATGATTGGCTTGGAGGAGAAGCAACAAAACTATTTGGATTTAGGCAATATGATTGAAAAAAATTGGATTAAATTGCAGAAATTACGACAAATACAAAAATATTCTACCACAACATTAACGGTTAAAAAAATTTCTTTCGAACAACAACATGCTGAAAAAAGGTTTGAATAATTGAAGCATATTTTTAAATAAATGATATGTTTGATTAATTCGCTCAATTTTTGATTACGTATATCTATTATTATTATGATTGCTTATTATTATTACGGAACGTAAGACGTTCCAAAATAATGTAGCTTTTTTGACTGAACGCGCAAAGAAAGCGGAAGTTTCACTGCTGGAGCATAAGCTTGAGACGGGCGTTGCTGTACTTGAAAGGGCTCATAAAGATGCT